TACACACACACAGGTGTTATTGTTTGTTAATAAAAAAATCAACTGAATCAAAATTAAGACATAGTCGAATAAGTTTAAACACCAGTACGGGAGAATTTGTTTGGTTGATTTAGAATTTCGCGCAAAGCTCCTCGAGAGTTATCTGCGCTAGCCGTCCTTAATTTAGAAATGATAGCCTAGGAAGAAGGCAGCTATTTAACACTACCCACCGCCAACTCTTAAGTTGCTCTTTTACCAACAAAACGTGGGATTGACCTTCAGATAATAACGCTCCCACTGCTGAAAGGGTGAGCATGCTCAGTGACGAGATTCGAACTCGCGACACGCAGATTGCAAGTCGAGTGCATTAACTACTAGGCTATACGAAAGAGAGCGTTAATAATAGCATTTCCAAACCTTTAATGAAATAATTTTTTTTGAGAGAGAGAGAGAAAAAAAAACATTTCCAAAACAGAGAAACATGGCAAAAATAAAAACAAACAACAGGCACAACGTGTGAATTATAAAACTGTGTCTTGGAGTTTCAGGTATCTGTGGAAATCGGACCTACACAATGGTACGGATACACCATCTAACAGGTTTAATCATCAAATTCCTCACATGCTGCAAGAAAACATGAATTAGATTTTAAACTCCAAGTGCAGGCGTAGGTACTCAATACCACAGTACAAGCGCCTTTTGCTGTCTTCAGTCACTTGTGAGAGACTGCTCAAGTAATAACAGGCAACAAGGATATCACGTAATAAGGTGTACTTTATCTTCTCAGGTTGGCATAATTATCCTAAACTAATTATCCAAGCAGTAACTTAAAGAACCATAAGTCACGAGAAGAGCTTAAAACTACTTAAATATTTATATTAAATAATATAATTGTGAATTGATTACAATTGTATAGTTATATTATATTCCTCACCTATAAGGGCTCAACCAGCAACCTTCTATTCACATATATATCTATATATAAATTTAAAAACGTGTTTAGAAACAAATAGTGTCGTATAACTTATAGCGGACAACTTCAACCAGGATACAGACTACAAAGTTCAATTGGTGGATTGTAATTTAATTAGAGGTATCTGAAGGAGAAGAATTCTACCCTTTGTGGGGATACATTATATATTCGAGTTAACTTCTAATTGTAAGTTTTAAAGGTATAAATGCTCAAACTCGTTCACCATCTGCAGCCAACTGTGGATATAACTACTTCTACTGTTAACAAATTGTTATAAAAACTTACTAAAAACAGACTACTGGGAGTGATAAGAAAAACATTTAATCTAAAGCTGAAATTCCATCACTGAAAATAGTCAGATACATGCCATGAAAATCATTATAAAACCTCAAGAAGTTGACTAGTAAAATATATGCTAATGATTAAACAAAGAAAATTGGATCTTATCCTCTTAATTCAAATAATTTACTATATCGCATAGACAGGCCCCCAGTGGCTCAACGGTAAATCTGACATATTATAACGCTAAAAATCTGGTTTCGATACCTGTGGTAGGCAGAGTACAAATAGCCCATTGCTTGTCTTTGTGATTAACAACAAACATAAACACAAACGAAGCACTACCGTTGTTCAAGTCCTTCTACAGATACCTCCTCTACTAGACTATATCATACTATTATCATTCTTTCAGTATGTACCCTAGATTTATTCGTCTATTATACAAATGACCGATGTTATTTGTTTTTGGCTTAGTTGATTGAAATTAAGAATTCTTTGATGGTAGGAAATGATTTTGCATTTGCTCTCTTCCCTTTATATGTCAAAATTAATATAACGATTATGTTGTATTTATAAATATATAACAACATAAATTAATTACGCATCAGATAGGTTACAAATATTTCCACTCGAAATTCATACGCCACAAAAATAGATTATGCGAGAAACTTTTTATTAGTATTGTTTATAAACACTGTATACTGAGAAATCATTAAAAATTTACACAATTAATTAAAGCTTGACTTTTTGTACAAGTTCCTTCGCTTCACGTCTACTTGGAGAAAACTAAATTAAGCACAACAACCGTGTTTTATAACCACTACATAAAATAAACTACGTGTATTTTGAGTGTTACAAATAAATTTCTTTTGATCGTAGAAGCATTAATTCCACTTTAACCTCTCAAAACTTTTACTGTGATATACTTCAACAATAATATAGTGTTTGTTTTGAATTTCGCGCAAAGCTACACGAGGGTTATCTGCGCTAGCCGTCCCTAATTTAGCAGTGTAGGACTAAAGGGAAGGCTGCTAGTCAGCACCACCCACCGCCAACTCTTGGGCTAATCTTTTACCAACGAATAGTGGGATTGAGCGTTACATTATAACGCCCCCACGGCTGAAAGGGCGAGCATGTTCGGTGTGACGGAAATTCGAATCCGCGACTCGCCTTCTGCGAGTCGAGCGCCCTAACCACCTGGCCATGCCGGGTCGCCCAATAATATAGAGTAGGCAAAATAATTTTCGAATGGAACATTCTAAACCTACGTTTCTCAACCACCGATCCGTCACATCCCTCCCCTTTGGCCAGTACGTGGAATTTCACAGAAAAACAAATAACTGACAGAATATCTATATGTAAAACGTAATAGTTTTTCGCGACAGTTTAGAGACACGCTATTCTATATTACATTGAAATTTCGTTCTGAACCAACATAATGTCATTTTATGTGTATTCGTTTCCATTTCATAACGTGATCGCATTTTTCAAAATTAATATGAAATTCCGCGTTTATTTTAATTTTTGCTTTGTTAAAGCGAAATACAAACTTTTCTGGAATCCCAATCCTAGGCTTTTTATTCAGTTTGTTACTTACTATGTCAGTTTTTCTTAAATTTAATCTGCTTGTTACTGCAGGGAAAACAGCTAATATTAGAGACTAACACACCTTCTAAATTATGTTGCTGGCAGGCAAGCAGTTTGAAAACATAAATAGCGTCTCAAATACTACCTTGTCTGTTGTACCCGCCCCCACCCCAGTAGCTCATCGGTAAGTACGAGGCTTATCACACTAAAACTCAGGTTTATATACCCTCGGTGGGCACTGCACAGAGATTTCATTGTGTAGCTTTGTGCTCATGAACAAACAAACTGTAGTATCCAAGTCGACCCTAGTATTGGGCGAAAGGCCTCGTCGGCACTGGATATGGCAGGTATAGTGTAGTTGACATTAGTATAGACTTTTACTTTCAATGAAAGTTATTATTAATAACAGCATATGATTGAGAAGTTATTGTTGAGAACAACATATGATGTGCGAAGTTATTGTTGATAACAACATATGATGCGAGAAGTTATTGTTGATAACAACATATGATGTGAGAAGTTATTGTTGATAACAACATATAATGGGAGAAGTTATTGTTGATAACAACATATAATGTGAGAAATTATTGTTGATAACAACATATGATGTGCATCTAAATTGTGTAAGAAGATAAAAGTTATAATACAGTGTGTGTATGTATTATATAATTAATGAATAGATAAACGAAACTTCAAAGTACAAAACAGTATAGAAATTATCATAAATTTAAGTTGTATAATTTTTTAGACTTATCTCTCAAACATCATTTTCTTGAAAAAAAAAATCGTTCATTCTTATAGTTATTATAAACATTTACCGT